CCGCCCCCCCGTTAAGGCCAGGTCCACTACAGTCTATATGAAATGCAAACACATACATGCAAAGACTGCTAATAAATCCCCACCACCACCACCACCACACAGCATTAATGCCAGAACTCCTGCAATCTATAGGAAATGAAAACACATGCACACACAGAGTGCTAGTGCACACACACACACCACACAGATACACACGGCAATAATGACAGAGCTCCTGCAACAGCATGGCTGGAATTCAGGCATTAGGGACTGCAAACAGGTCTAAACTAAATGCATTTTTCCCCCCAAAAAGGTAATAACAAATGAAACAAAGACTCTTAGACTGTATTGTGGTGGGCTCCAATAAAGTGATGCTTCAAATCTCTGAGTAATGACTGCTAGCATGAATATACCATTGTGCTGGAGGAGAGAAAAATGCTTTTGATGTGCTAGCAAATGGAGACTTTTGTAAACAAGTGGAGCACAACTTAAATGTGTTCATCACTGTCAAAGCTTTTGGGGGGTTGCAGGCACCACAAAGAGCATCCCGTCGTAATTTGGAGGACGCCACTCGCTTCGGATAAAAATATTATGAATGGACAGATAATAAACATGCATTGTGTATAGTTTTTAACAAGAAAATCATCCCATTTTGTAACTACTTAATTCTCCGAGTGGCCAGGAAAGGCCCCAGATCAATAAAGTGTTTGTGAAAGACTGAAAGGAAACATAAACCCCAATTCTTCTGGCTGTTTGGCGTCTTTGTAAACTTTGAGCCGGGCAGGCCATACACAAGAGCATGGGAATGTAGAGCGAATTGGGGCCTTTGTTACTTATGGTGCCATGGCGTTACATGTATCACAGCTAAGGAATGCAGCCTCCGCTTTGACTGCTGATATAGAAAATGCATTCGGCCTCCAGCAGAGCTGCCAAAGCTGGCTATAAAAGATAAGGAAAGTAATAATTGGCCTTGGAGAATATATTCAACTGTAGCTCTTCAGTAGCAGTGATAGATCCTGACAAGAAGCACTAAAGCGCATAAACTTTCATTAAAATAAAATTTAAAAAAAAGGAAAGAAAGGAAGAGAGAAACCTGTATCTAGGCCACAGTGTTATTTGGGGGATATCCGAGTCGTTCCTACCTCCTGCTAGGAACTGGCTAGTGTCCTGCCAGCAATCATAACTAACAGTAAATTCTCTCTGACAGCAACATTTGACATGAATAAAGCTGGCTAGGATTCAAAATAACGTTAGTGAGGCTCCACTACGGGATAGGGAATGAGTTGCACCTACCTGTAATTTGTTGCAAAAAGGGGGGGTGGGGAAAAGCCAGCAAGCTTCCCCTAGTTCAAAGTCAATCAGGGCTCATAGTAGAGGTGATCTCTTTCATTAAACCAAAAAGATTTTTGCAAAAAAAAAATGTCTTTAATTGCAAAAAATGTGCTGGTCTAATAAAAGAGATCACCTCTACTCTGAGTCTGGAGTGCCTTTTCCTCTAGACCAATATGGCTACAACCTGGTTCAAAATCAGTGATATTTATGAATGAGGACAAGGTGGTTGGGAGTGTGCGACGTGCCCCACAAAAGGGCGGCAGGGTGCAAAACGCAGCACGGACCTCCGCTTTACTTGCAAGCGGAGCACGGCAGAGCCCGCGCTTCCTCTCCGCACGGCGGAGACGGGAGTGAATTGAAAAAACATATCGCTCCATCCCTTAAAGAGCCTTTTCCTCCTGCATAAATTTGTCCTCGCTGCTGGCATTGAGATGACCCACAGCAACAAAGCAGCCTGCTCTTGCTCAGGAAAGCAATTCTTTTGCATTGTGCCACCAATAATCAGAAACCCACATCTTCAGCTTCACTGTCTGACTTGAAGAACAAAAGGCAGTTCTCAGACTTAACCCCACGATTTAAAGGGAGGGGGGAAGGGCCTTGACCATTCATTAACAATAGTCATTTAAAAAAAAGGAGAAAAAAGGAGCTCCTGGCACACAAAGTAGGACTAGAGAGATGTACATTGAGACTGAATTCTACCATCTAAGAGTAAATTAAACCCTTGTGGAAAAAAAAAAAAATCATGAAAAGGCACTGGAGATCAGCATTGTTCATTCAGGCTGGGGGCTTTTTCCAGCAGCTTATTTGCAGCAAAGTATGCCCCTATCTAATTGCTGCAGACCTGTGCCAAGAATACATTTCGGAAGTAATTTAAAAGGTGGTTAGTTGACAGAAGAGATTATAATAAACCTTGTAGGAAACACACTCCAACATCGTATCAAGTTTTCCCAAAAAGTCTCTACCTTGAACTGCATACACATGGGAGGCCTGATCCTAGCAGGATGTCTACCAGAGCTTCAATCTCAGCTCCTGGACAGTCCTACCGTCTGCCAAGGGACTACCTACGTACTGGGCCAACAAAGATAAGCAGAGGGAAGGAGACGTGCAATTAAAGCGCATGCAAAAACAAGCTCTGCCATCCTTAAAAAAATGGTCTCTAAAATTCTGGTTTTGTTAAGCATGCAGATTAGGAAAAGGGCAGCAAAGGCAGCCCATCATCTGAAGTCCTCTCATACTTCAATATTCAATACACAGGGGATAGGTCTACAGGCCAGCACACTAATACGTGCCCCCAACTCCAGTAAATCCTATGTTATTTTCTGTATAGTTTGTGTTGCAAAACTGGAAAATTAAGATTGAAGGCAAATCAAATTCCCAGCATTTGCTCAATTATTCCATTTGAGTGCTTAGAACTAGTCAACTCCTAACGGAAAATATTTACACAGATCCATTAAAATGTGGCATTTTGCCTCTTGATTAATGAATCCTTTCTGTTTCTGCAGCAAACAAGATAATTTAAAATTTGTCTACAGAGAGCACATATTAATGTTTTCAAAGTCTGCCTTCTGCAGCAAAAGTAACCAACCCAGAAACAAGTAACACAAAGAGTTTTGGCAGTAAATGCATTTGCAAGCATAACATCAAATACTTAAGCAATGAGTGGGCAGATAACATTTGGGGATCGGGGGGTGGGGATTATCTGGGAAGAAATGACACTTCCAATCTGTTTGTCTTGTGTAATAATTGGGATTTTTGTATGCAAATCCCGAAGACGCTCGTTCATATAACATGGCTTGCTGCCTCTCCCCGACTTTACTTTTTAGTTGCATACAACCTATAGCAATTAGCTATTTGTGCTTTTGTCTGTTTTCTGGGATTATGCTTTCCCTTTCATGGGATTCCTCTTTTCTACTTGGACTAGATGTCTACATGTCTTCCAGCTTTAAGCTATTTCAGCTACCATTGTGGCTGAAATAATGTTCTCATGAGAGAGTGTCAGTGTTCTTGAGGATCTCTCTGAAGCCTAATTTAATGTTGCACTTGCAAATAGTGTTAAAGTGGTAATTAGCTCCCTCCATGAAACAGGCAGGCGAAACCTTCCTCTGAAAATACCGTGCATATATCCAGTTAATGTGGACAATTAAGCAAAAAATGTGTGTTTAGAACTGGGCATAACTATAGCTTTTAAATGAAAATCTAGCTTAAAATATTAAAATATGCCAATTACCAGACACTTCCTTTTTTCCCCTACATATACAACCTAATGAGTGGGAAATCTTTCCTATGCAAATACGTCTTCAAATGTCTCATTGCTATAGAAATGCACTGCTGCCTTCTCAATGGTGCAGTATACTTCACATCTGTGCTTTAATCTGCATTATAAGGAGAGAGGTGCTTGTCCCTAAGGAAGTGTCTGACAAACAAATCCAGAGTCCTCTTGAAAACATGCTCTGAGCATTAGCATTTGGGGGGCTGGATAATATCAGTTATATCCAGAAATGGCAAAGGTACATCACCACCAAAATCCGTCCCAAAATGAGATATGACATTTCAAACTCAATTTGACAGGATGAACAAAGAGGCCCATAAACATGGAGATGAACGGCCAGAGATCAAGATTTGCAAGATGGCGCAGACCTGGTCTGCTCTGAAGTTCGGTGCATATCCATCACCTTTGCCAGCCTTCAACTCTTATCAGAGAAAACAGGACTGGAAGAGACCTCGTGAGGTCTCCTTGCACTGAGGTCTCCTTGCACGGGCCCTAAGGAATGAGTCTTTAGGAAAGACAGGAGTGTGATTAGGAGGATGGGGAAGGGCAGCCCAAAGATAAGGGGAGCCACAAAAAGAAAGTGCATCTACGCTTTGCAAAGGGAGTGGTTATGCAGCTGCCATAGAAAGGAACAGAGCAGATGCATTATAAATGCCAGTGATAAGGAGGGGAAGCTGCAGTCAAACAGGGGAAAGCAGGTTACAGTCTCTCACCTACGGGTGCAAAACAATGAGCCTTGTTAATCACATCTGGGGGGTGAGAAGTCTTGGGAGACTGCACCTCTCCATCACAAAACACTGTTGCTCTGGGGCAGAATTTTTCTTACAGACCAGTGTTTGGCCATAAACACTGCTCCTGGATACCATGCCAGGTCCAGGCTACCCCCCCACAACCAAACAGAAGTATAGACAGGACTTCATTTAGACGGGAGGGCTCAGACAGGAAGAGCTGCCCAGATGCATGGAGTTGGTCCAGTTGGGTCTCTCACCCATACAGCCTACTTTTTTCCCCCCATTAAAAAGGTTGGCCTTTCTATTGGTGACTGGTACATTGTAAGTCAGTGTCCTTGAGGAACAACGTGAATGGGAGAACGATTGTGGTGCAGGGGTTTGCAGGATAAGGAGGCAGTGCAACCATCTTGGTATCTCCTACAGCCACTTAAAATAGTTATGGTCATTGTGTAAAAAGCAAAGGAGCATCTTCAGTACCACCTGTGAAGGCAGTTTTTCCACAGGTAACAGCCATCAGACATCTACTTCCGCACTCAGTTTTAGCCCCTACTGTCTCACCTATGAAGTTATTCCACTCTGTGTCCAGGTCCCCTTGATTAGCTAAACAGCCTCTCATGACGTTAAAACAGTAATTGTAACATGGTTTTATGGAGACGAGGCCTCGGCAATGTGGACAGTACATCATTTTCAGCAGCGCCCGGGTACCCTGGGGTGTCGGGTTCACCTTTGAGAGAGAAAAAGGAAAAGAGACGGCAATTACATGTCAGTCACAAAAAGAAATCACATTTGCACCACTGTAGGAAAGACCATCAGAGGAGAAACCCCAGGGTCAGGTCTGGTTTCCTGGCTGCAGCTCAGCTGTTAGAGCGTTCAGCCTTAAACCACGGTGACTGCAGAAAGATGTTTTACACACCACACCTTGGGGGTGTAAGCCTATCTAGGAGGTCCTTTTACTACAGAATTTAAATCAAAATGGAACAGCGCCAACCAAAAAAGGTAACGCAACATTAAACCATGTCCGTTAGTTTGCAAAGTCAAGTGCTCAAAAGATGGGTGACTGTAGATCCGGCATTTCCCAAACAACCTTACCTCTGCCCCTGGTGTTAGTGTTGCAGCTCTTAATGAAGCTGGGACCCCAGAGGGAATTAAAAAAAAAAAAAAAAAAAAAAAAAAGGGGGAAATCAAGAAACCAGGGATTAAAA